TTTCAATAAAGAACGTAATGGTAGACTACGCGCTTAAAAGTATGCAATAACAATAAATATTAAATTGAGTGCATGCTGCGTTAAAAGCTAGGTATTTGAGTTAAGTACTTGAGCATAAATATTAAAGTTGTATATAAAAAACATTAAGCAAATTGTGTGTACGTCGGTGGAGACGGGCAGAGTGGGTATGGGCAGCCTTATCAACACTGAGCAGCAACGCCTAACACACAAAAGTCAGCACAACCCTTCCGACTAGTATTTAATAGAAACGTGAGCCAATTCACCTAACCCAAAATGGTTATATGGCCACTTGCTGCGCTTGGCGTTGGTAGTAGCATACATTTGATTTACATATATTGCATATTTCCGGGCGTTTTGAAAGGCATACGCCCACAACTGTGCTACATAATTACAAATGACAGTGTAATGCAGCATAAAAGAAAGTAGCAACTAAGCCGCTGCCACGTTTTCATGAAGCACGTGTTGCCAGTCATTTTTTGGGGGTGACACGCTGCGCCGAAAATTATGCTCGACCAGCAGACAACAGGTTATTGGCCGAAGTCACTTTGCCGCATGCCTCTGACACTTCCACACTACCGCTACTTACTTGGAGAGCACGCGGTCACACCCTTGTCAACAGCTTTTGACAGCTAAAATTTTAAGCACAAAAGTAGGCTTGGCGCTGTGTGGCTGGTATACATCACTTAAGTTAGTACAGCTCGCTGTAGTGGTAAATTCCGGCATACGGTGGTGGTGTTCCACTGCCGATAAGAGCACAGTCGATGCATACACGTTGTGTCAAATCAACCAAAAAAAACAGAAACGTAAAATCAATTTTCGTAATTTCTTGTTTCATCTGCATGTGCGCCTAAAGGTATGCAGCTGTGATAATAATGGGCAACCGCAGTGGCAGTATTACCATATACGCTATGGCAAATATGGGGATAAAAACAAAAAGCCGGTGATATGTAGTGAAATTTATGCAAAATGCCGAGATGATTTGCAAAATACATGAAATGGGTGGCATGATGGAAATGATACTTGTCGAATTCGCAGCAGAAATATCTGTGCGTGTTGAAGGGGATAAACGATTGGTGGTTGCTTGGCACAAGTGTTGAATTGAAACAAATTGCTGACGCCATCGAAGCATTTTAAAGATTTAAGAGACTGATACGCAGGCAATGACATTTACGATATGAGTGACGTTGTAAAAAGTTACTACGCAATCAATAAATATTTGCTACTACTTGTGGGGGTGATATAGATGTACATACATATCTACATGCAAACATATATGAGGAAAAACAGGAAATATTGATATACATTTATATTACTAGAAGGTTAAAGAGTTTATTTTACTAAAGCATACTTTTAGGCATCTTTAAGCTGTAGCACGCATGGCGTTCTCTAATTTAAAAAAAATATATATAACTCGCGAATATGTTTGAAATTCATATATAATACTAACCACATTTTAGTAATACTTTTTCCGGCAAAGCAATATTTAAATACCAAACATTACAAAAAATGTATTGCGTCACCCTGCTAAGTCGTGCATCTTCGATAACTGTCTGTCGATAACTGAACTGACTGTGTATTGATATAAAGAAATAATCTCCATAGTTGTTTTTTATGCAAGTATAATAAGTAAGACTCAAAGACAAATAAAAATATACAACTTCTTGCTCTGTAGTCTACATTCAGGCGCATTTGCATTTTTGTGTTGCATACTAATATTTTTGTACGATTTCTCTTGTGTTCAACCGATACTCTTATTTTAATATAGTTAAGCGTGTATTGTTGGCAGAACTGCCTGTCAATTTGAAGTGTACAGGAAGTACGAATTGTAAGAAAATAAAGAACTGTCGATTGGTACGTTTTCAAGTGCAGAAAGTTTATGCAAAGTGGAAACAAAAGCTTATTAGACTGTAGGAAAATATTTGAATGTATATATATAAATATATATTTTTCATCTAGGAAGAACATTGTACGCCTTTTTATACTTTACATACATATATAAATATTAGAACTATTTTTTTGAATTAAATTGCTTCTGGAGAGCTCACAGCAGAAAACTTTCTAAGCCACTCTATACTCTAACTCATTACAGAAAAAATAGATTACAACAAGTGTGGAAAGTATATTATCCTCCACATTATGAGATTATTATATAAAAAAAATAAAATTATCAAGAAAATAATTAAAGAGGGCTTTGTATAAAATAAAGAATACCAGACTATTTTTTTCCTAATAATTTGTTTTACAATTTTGTTTTTTAAGTAAGAACTGTCTAAATTTATGTATTTCAAAGAAAATTTTTGTAATATCTATTTTGCTCACTTTATCATATATATACTATTTACTATCTATAATTAACTAACAAACCTAGCGGAAATGTCAAATTCTATTTCAGTTTGGCCAATAACAAACACCAAACAATAACAGAGTTTCAAAGACTTTAGTCAGTATAACTTCATTACAGCTGTAGAAATGTCATTGCAGTCATTCTATTTACGCCAACAAACTAACTTTTCCAATTTTTCCATAAACAAAGTTTTTCTATCTGTTTAAGCACCAAAAGTTCCACTCAATCTCGCGCGCCACCCAACTCAACAAAACACCAATGACATGTGAGTGCGATAAGTGAGCAGGCAATAATGAAAAAAATACCGCTATGTCTGAATTGAGGAGTATAGTGGGAGTATTTGTGCTCAACTCATAATTCATCAGAGAAAATTTGCTATTTCATTCTGTTGTCATTTATTTTGTTTTGCTGCCGCTTTTTTGCCTAATTTTTATTTATTTGTTTTTTGCTTGTTTGTCACACTTCGCTTTTGGCAAGCGCCTGAATTGGCGCCAGTCGCGTGGGTGACTCGCTCATAGTTCTCATTGCTCGTTAGACACACTTTTGCTGTGGTCAACTTGCCAACTCGATGCCGTTGATGCGTTGATGACGTTTTGGCCTAAATTTGTTTTCGATGTTTCATGTCATTTCGTCAACCCGCGCAGAATGTACAATTAATTTTCGCTTTTAATTGACTTGTTGTGAAATGAACGGAAAGTGAGAGTTCGAAAAAAAAAAGTTTTGTTAATTTTTATAGCTTTGGCTTTTTGAATTATGTGGCAATATTGTGTTACGTAGCAATAAATTGAGGTGTGTGAAATCTATAGCAATAATTGAGCTATATTTACAATAGATATAGTAAAATGCATTGTTGGCAAAGTAATAAGTTTACAAAGACTTGAGTGGATATGTGTATTGCTCTATTCGATCTAAAGATTCCAGCAAAAATTTGTTCTTAGCTCTGAAGCTCTCACAAAATGAGAATAAAAAGTTAGCTGCGAAATACTTTCATTTCAAATAAATAAATTAAATAACGACAATCCAACGTTGCAATAAAATTTCATAAAAGCCCCACCAATTTGGCAACATTTGCAATTTCTTCTTTAAAGAGTAAATTATTTGTAAACCACTTAAAAGTGATTCATGGCCACAATTATAAAGGTAGTTAAGCGACCACAGCAAGTGCGTAGAAAAGTCGTAAGATGAAAGGAAGTAAAAGAAAAACGCGAACAACAAAGAAAGAGAGGCACCAACCAACATTTACTAATGGCAACTCATCAAATTTTAATGTGACCCACTTATGGGTCACCAAAACTGACAAGCTGCCAAAGAAAATGTAAGAAGATGTAAGAAAGAAACACAGACTGACAGATATGCGCGTTGACACACAGTGACATATATTACAGCATTGACAGCATAAATATGAATGCGTAATTTTAAATAAGTTGTCTAGGTGTACTGCTCTCTCATATAGATATGTATTTCTACATATTTATAGACTGTAACATACATATGTGCGTAGACACTGTAGCTGTATCAGTGAATATTGTTCATCTGCGTTTATGATCAAAGCACTTGACTTTATGTCTCCACTGTGTCACCTTTTTAGCAAATTGATTTTGGTAAATGCTGCGCTCTGCGCTGAGCTGTCAGAATATTTCAATATACTCGTTTATATATCTGTATCCACATATACCATTTATGGTATACTCATATATGTATATACATAGCTATATCTATTCATTCTGCTTATCAACACGTAACTTTTACCTTATAAAAGTGTGTATGTTCATTCTTGCGAAAACTCAGGTGTATCATTTTTCATATATGCTTCTCATATTTCCGTTTTGTTAGCAATTGTTGCAATTTTTTTCCTTGAATTATGCATCTAGGGAGTCTCATAAAGATATGATAGGAAATGTAATAGAAATTTATGAGTGCAAATAAATTTTTATTTTTTATTTTGTTGTGTAGCTTGGCGTGAGGTGAAACGCGAAAAGAAGAAAAGTGATGAAAAGACTTGAGAAGCTTATCTGGAGTTAGAAAAATATGTATAGGGCCACTTTAGAGAGTGCGAATTCGTTTTTGAGCAACTATTGACAAATATAACGAAATTTAACGCTACCTATATCTTTAGATATATAAATAATAGTGTCGGCAATTACATGGATATTTTTAGTACTCTTAAGAATCCGTCTATGTAAGTTTTAAATTACTTGTGGCTAATAGCTCGCTTAGACAGCTGTTGGTCTTTTGTGATACCCAAAATCTCTTAAAACTGGATCACCAAATCTGCATAGATCGACAAAATGTTTTGAGCTTGCCACAAAAGCGATAGTATAAACCCCAAGGTATGTCTATCATGATGTTGCAATCTCGGTATAAAGAACGCTGGACAGTGAAGAGAAAAGTGCCTGCTTGATGTCACCTCGCCTTCTTTTAAACAGCTTTGTCAAAAAGCGGCCGACAAAATATTGTTGGATGGTGTCTAGTGAGTGTCTAGGAGTGCTAACTCGCTTCCAATCAGTTGAAATTGGGGTCTTGTATAGCAATATATAAAAAAAATTGTATAAAATCATAACCAGTGCTAATGGTAATACTCCCAACTGCAGGCAGAAAGAATAACTCAAGACTTAAATACTTATGGGGGGAGTGTAACCAATAGGTTTGCCTTTTCTTTAATGCCAATAATATTTACATAACAAAATTGTAATTGTAAAAGTAATAAAAAAATGTTTTTGAAAAAATTGGCTTGCAATGTGTTACGTACGATTTCTTACAAAACGACACACGCGATACGAGCAGCTAAAACACGAAGCGATCTAACGTCAGCTGCATTAGTGCTCATACTACTATTTGTGATCATATACTACTGTGGTTATCGCTTACGCACCGGCTATAAAACTGATTTAGAGAATACTGATACGAGAGAGTTGTTAGATCGAAATGTGATGTTGGATTTCGGCGGTCCGAATGAGAATTTCGTGGTGAATGATAGTGTGTGTAAAATACCACGCATAAGTACCTTTTCACCGGCTGTAAGTACCAACGCAAAGGTAACAGTATGACAGGCTGTTTTGTGGCTCGTATGCTGACAGCCGAATATTTTCTCTCAGTAATGTTATGACATTTCAATATCTTATATTTATAGCTGGCAGCTATGCAAGCGCCGAATGTGATTTGTGGAACGAAACTTCAACGCACAAAACCGTTGGTCTCTAAGCGATTCGATAATATATCCAGTCGTTACTATTTGCATATAAATGAGGAATGGAAACCTCTATACCTGCAGGAGGAGCGCGCTGAGCTTACTTGCTGTTTTAGAGAGATAAAGAATGAGACCAGTGCTGATAAGTTGATGTACTGAAAGCGTTAAGGCTCCGGGTTCACTAATAACAACAAATGCATTATGTTTTCAGTGGTACACCTTGTTTTATCTTCAAGCAAGACTTTATCGTACCACTCGATGTGGTTGGAACTATTGTTAACTGTATGCAGCGTGGCGACAAGAAAATTGTTTTCATGGATGCATTTTCGTTTATACATAAGCGAAATTTTAGCAAAGATTGGACACGCAGTAAGAAAGTTGGTGTATTGCTTTTTGGTCTGGATGGTCTGTCACAGATTAATTTGCGCCGTCGAATGCCGAAAACATATAGTTACTTACAAGATAACAATCATCGTTGGTTCGAGTTGCTGGGGTTTAATAAGGTTGGCTTAGTTGGCTACCACAATTATAAAACTTTCTAAAGAAACTTCTCCCTTTCATCTTATCTCAGCTCGGCTACGATGCCTTTCCTAACATAATGGCGCTCTTAACGGGTCGCCAGCTTCAACAGCAGGAAACTGTTTATGCTTGTAAGCGAGGTGGCATTCTTGACGGCTGTCCGTTTCTGTGGCAACAGGTCAGTAATATGGGCATGCCAACCGCCTACGCTGAGGATTGTAGGTACGACAGTACTGAGACTCTACGATTCCAACATTCGCCCACGGATTATTACCTTCAGCCGTTTATGCGGGCCGTGGAGCGTCGTCTGCGAACGGATACATACTACATAACACCACAATATTGCTTGGGACCGCGGCTCGCAGGCAGTTATGTGTTGGATTATGCTGTCGAGTTCGCGCAGAGTTTTGCCGGCGTTGGCGGTTTAGGTATATTTTGGGTAAATAGTTTTAGCGAACAGCATGTGTTACCGACAAAGATTGATCACGAATTCGCCAAATATTTGAGGTTAGTGAAAAGCGCTGAGGTACTTGAAAATTATGTGGTGTTATTACTCAGCGCTAATGGCATGCTACGCGGTCGACTTAACAATCTCGCTAGCGGATTTTATGAAGAACGTTTACCCATACTTTACATTTCACTACCTGAAGCTTGGAAGACGACTCATCTGGCTTTATTTGAAGCCTTACAACTAAATCGTAATCGTTTGGTGAGCCCCTTGGATTTGCATGAAACCATCCAACATGCTCTAGCGATTGGTGCAGGCACAACAGAGCCACACTTTACTGACTGCGCAAGCTGCCAATCGGTACTCAGACCAATAAAGGCGAATCGCAGCTGCAGCGACGCTGGCATCGATTGGTTTTGGTGCAGTTGTGAGCCCTTCGTGGCCAAGTGGTGCAACTCTCATGCGTCCAGCTTGTTGCTGAAGTCTCTGCTAACGCATATGAATGACTTATTACAGCAGGTCGGTTTGCTCAACGGCACTTGTGCAGTTCTAAGCGTACATACGCTTTACGGTGTCTATAATAGTCAAGAAGAGAGCGACTACTATTATGTGAAATTTAAAACATTGGTGAAACATGCCGAATTCGAAGCGGCGTTTTGGTATAATAAGAACTCGCAGCAGGTTTTGCTGGATGAGAGCAAACTAAATCGCTTAGATCACGAGGCTGCTGAATGTGTAGAGCATCACAGTAAGTTGCTAAGAAAGCTCTGTGTTTGTCTCTAGTTTATAGTGAATTGTTTATGAAGGCAGAAACTTTGAAGAAAGGGTGTACAATTGTATTTATATTATTTTATATATGGAGCTGATGATGATGCATTTTTGACAATTACATTTTGACTATATTAATAAAACTTTATGCGTGTCAATAATGGATTTAATATTTTATTCTATGTTCTTCGAAGATAAAGATTATGCAGTATTTAAGTTTGAAATCTTGAATAAATTAAAGGATTATATTTCTGTGCTAATTTCTTTAAAATATCGAACTTTAAACCATCAAAAGATCGAAAAAAGTTACTAACTTTTTATGAACTGTACAGCTGCAAAATATTCTAAATAAAGTTTGACTAGAGCTGATCGACAAACTCGCAGTCGTTCAAAAAACATTCCAAACTATTTTATTAGAAAATAGTTTCGAATGATGACATACAAATCTTTCACAGTGTTGTCGGAGTCATTATCTATATCTAAAGTGGAATACTGAGAACCCTTAGCGTTTCTGGAAACTCGCAAAACAGCTTGAACTCTCAATATAATATTAGTAAGCAATTCGTTGGATAATGGAAAAATCGGTCATACATACACTTCTAAATAGGCCGTAAACATTTAAGGGTGTGTAGCCTCTAATTTGGCCGCATAACTGCAATGCATAAAGTATGGTTGAACTAAATTTTAATACACTGGGTCACACATCCATACTGTTCCTAAATTTCAAACTACTCGTATGAACGAAAATAACTTTTCGTATATTTTATTCTTAAAAAACGATGACAAACTATTTAGGATTGTTTAGGCATCGGTGACAGGTATTGTTTGATATCACTCTGCTGAAAATACTCAGTTCTTTAAGTTGCTTGAAAGTGGAAATTGTGTGGTTAAGGATGATGATAAGTTCCTTATTATTTTCTAGTCGTGAGTTAAGAATTGGTTTATGATGTTTCAGAATCACAAGAACATCTTTTAACATTGAATTTATCTAACTTTGAAAACCCAGACGTGTGATGTGATAAATTTTTATTACTTCGGAAAATGTTAGAATATCTCTCATATTAATCAACTCATTCACAAACCGTAATTTATTATTTAGTATAATACTTTTCATTTGTGAAATTTTTAGTTGAATGATCTATAATAATGACTGATTTTCAAAAAGCAAAGAATAACAATTTTCAACTTTTTACCGATTCAAATACGGGTATCCTTGAAAAATATAAATAATTCATGCTTTAATAACTCTCTTGAACCATGTGGAAATTAAAGCTGAAATAACTCAACATTATAGTTAATATTTATGTATGTTCGACAATATATAACTCGCAGTACCGTCCCCCTCTATCTAACTAATAAAATTTTCTTCTCATTTAGGCACGAAAGAAAACACATGTAAATCCACTCATTGAATCTCCATTGAGCACAGCTGTTCACCTACGACATATAATATAACCAAATCAAATTCAGGATGACGCATTTTCATGCGCAATTATCGAATAAAAGATAAAATCCAGGCGAAACATGTGTTCGACAGGACCTTAACATGAAAGCACACAAGTGTGAGTACAATGCTAAGCGAGCAATATTAGGGATGTAAACAAAATCAAGCAGGCGGAAGGGAGGTATAAAGCCACTGCGCTGAGCAAATGATGTAAACGAAAAAAGATAAGATTTTAAGGGTCAAAAATTATGCGCACAAAATATAATATGTGAGTTGGTACGTTAGCGCATATCGATGAGCTGGTAAATATATAGAGAAAATCAATATAATGTTTGACCGAAAATTATGCCTGCTAAGCAGGAGTTGGGATTACATATATGCATATGCATTACATAAACACACGGTATGGTCACTTTTATTCACTGTCACTTGGTCATCAATGAACATTGGTTGCCAGAACTGTTTGTGTTTTATTGACTTATGTGACTTCCGTCGGCAGGATGGGGACCATAAACACTTGCATTACAGCTCATATATATTTACTCATACGCAGATATGTATGTATGTATGTGTATGTGTATTTACGTAAGTAGAGGTGTGTATGTGTTTGTGTTATTTATGTGATTTATGAAAATTCGCTAGCCAAATGTTCTGTTTTCTGTTTTTCCAACCTCAAACTGCCAGAGAACGTGCCAGTGCGAAATTATGGAGATTAACAACCCTCCGATTAACTGGTGGTCATTTGTCATCGTAAATGTGCAAATTAGTAAATTCATTTATAAGCAATTTCACTTCGATTGCATGCGTTGATGGCTGCAATTAGATTCATGTGTAAGAAATTAATTCTAAGCGAACAATTGCATTGATAAGGATCACAGTTATAAGAGAAGGGAGACAGAAAGAAATTTTTTGGAACATTAATAGTTATATGCAATTGCATTATTCAAACGTTTGTAGACCTGTAGTCAGAACTACTTCTATAATTAGAAAATACTCAGCAAAGTATATTGAATTTCACTGTCACATTATTCTTTTACTGAACTTTTCACGAACAATGTCTAAATATTTAAGAGTATTACTGCACTGCATCTAGGCATTGCCTACATTTAGGCTGATTTTGAATTTTGAATTTTTTTATAATTAAACTATAGGTATATCAAGGTTTTTCTAATTTAATATTTGAAAACTGCATATATCACGTAATTAATTTTTAATTTTTCAATTAATTATACATTATAGCTGTTTCTTAACCCCTTCCATTTTCACTTATTCAAAACTAGAATTCATAAGTACAATTAATATTCCTGAGAAATACGGCTCAACATATTGGTAATGACTATTTTCAATTTGTACAGCTTTAGCGCCTTAGCATATGCCACCCCACTTAGGAGAGGGGAGTCATCCACTCACAATCCTTTACCTGCTGTTGCCATTATACATAATTTATACGCTAAACGATTAATAAGTTTGTAGTCAACGTTTGTTTAACGCCCGCCGTTGGTAAAATATTCGTTAATTTAATTACCTACTGAAAAAAGAATCTATATAAACCTTTACGCAGTGGCTTGGCGATGGTTTCAACGCACACAACTTTCTTAAACAGGAAAAACTGAGAGAAAGCAAAACAAAGAGCAAAATTATTATGCCAAAGGCGTAGTTGGCAGAATGTGTTCAAAAGGTGGATTGGAGCGGGCAGCTGATTTGGTTGGGGTTATGGGAAACAGCTGCTTCTACATACTTTTTTTTTGCCACTTAATTTATACCCCACACCACAGCAGAGGCTGCTCGAAGGTGATTTCCTGAAACAACAGCAGCCGAATCGGGCTTCCGCTTTACACATACAAAAAAATATGTATGTATCGTATCTATATCCGGCTATAGTGGGCGATTGAGTCTGGCAATCCGAGATACGTGAGGCTTTTTTGGCATCAACATGTGCATAACAATACAAGGAAGTGATGGCGGAAATGAAGGAGCTACCAAAAAAAAAAATAATAAAAAAAATGTGAGGAGATTTGCTTGACGTTGTTAACTTGCCGCGAGCGGCAAAATGTATGCGAAGTGAGTGCGACGAGTTGGTTAACGAACCTTAAGGAAGTAGTTTGTATACATAACACTCATATATGCCTTGCCTGGTAGAAACCGGGGAGCGTTGAAGCGCATTTTTATGAAAACACTGCGTCTGAGCTTCAGATTTAAGCCCTTACACGCTTTGAATAAGTAAATATCTCAAAAAGTTCAAAAAAAAAAAGGTAACAGGGAGGTGCAATTAGAGAAAGGTAACTAAAGCGGACAGGGTAAACATGACCAACCAAGCCATTGTCGACTATTTCAACTCTTCTATTTTCTTAATTATGAAAACGGATTGATAAACGGAAAAAAATTCAGAACACTGATAAGCAGAAATAAATAGAGAAACCTGTATGTGTTAGTGAACGAAAATAAGTAAAATCAGCAATCAGCTGCCGGCAATCAGTCAGTCAGCCGAAATTAAGGACTACACCTTCGTAGATGTGAACAGATGTGTGGATGTGTTTGTGTGGATTGCATATGTATGTATACTACTATGTAAGCAATGCCTATAAGATAGCAGCAGTGGATTTTTAGATGATGGAAAGGTTGTCAGAAATCAAGTAGGGACAGTTACGCTTGTTTGCACAGGAAGTGAAGCATTAAATAAGGCTGAACTGAAAGTGGTGACAAGTTTGGTATGCCTGAAGGTGGTGTGGAAAATTTTTAATAGAAAGCTACGAAATGTAAGAACGGATTTAGATATCTGAATGGTTAGGCAAATTTATATAAGTTTTTGGCACATTGATGGCTTAATTTTTAAAGACATACAATTTGGTATTTTATAAAGCATATTTTTTGTTTTAATACAAAATACTCCGCGGTTCCTCTCATATACCATTTATGACTTTTTATATGTAAGATTTAGGAGAAGCTATTACTTTAAAAGATTATAAAACATTTTCGCCAAATCTACGTAATAAATGTAGAAAAATTTTGAATACTAAGATAAGTTAAAATTATCATAAACAAAATGTTGCCTACATTCAGGCGTACGCTGTAAATTTAGTGGAGTCAGCTACCTAAATTGATTAAAGCTAAAAAACCTTATTGGATTAAAAACACTATAAATGTTTACATGGCAACAGCACAGTAGAGAGAAACCCGGAGCACGGAGAACATGTAGGATGCTCTCTCTGAATTGTTGTAAAAAAAATATATATACACAATTGTTGCAGAGCACCGGGCTGGGGAAATCTGGCTCACAGATCTCTTCCCCACTCTCGTTAACAGTATTCAACCATATATATTTATAAATGTTGCGCATTTTATTTAAAGTTAGAGAGTTTCACGGCTGTCTGATCATTTAGATAACTATTATATAATTTAATGAAATTGTCAAATAATTCACAGTAACACTACATTTTGCTCAAATAATCATTGTATCCAGAGCTTAAAACTCGTAATTAAAGTGGTGCTCATAACTATGAATTTTTGTTTAATTTAGAGTACTATAAAACAAAGGAGACACAATAATCATATAGTATAATGCATGCTCTTAGACAATCTGCAAATAAGTTTCTGTAAAAATGCATAACCCTTGTGGTGTCAGCGGTGACGCAAACCTCGAAAATATGAAGTCTTGAATTGATTTATTGTTGCAATATATTCGCTGTAATTTGCTTTTTTCTTCTAATCTACAGATTAC